CCTCCGCGCCGCGCGGGGGGCCCCGCGCATCATGCGGGGGCCGCGGCGCTGCGATGGCATCTGATGGCCGCGGGGCGCGGGAGGCTGCGGCGGCCCCGGGAGGCTCTCGGCGGCCCCGGGAGGCGGCGGCGGCGGCGGCCGGAGCCCTGAGGGGGCTGTGAGCGGGGCTCGGCCCGCGCCGCTCCGCACCGCTCCGCGCCGCCCGCTGCGCAGGGAGGAGGAGGAGGAAGAGAAGGCGGAGGAGGAGGAAGAGGAGGAGGAGGAAGAGCGGAGCGGTGCCCGCCGCCTGCCCCCAGCCGCCCTGCCTGCGCGGGCGTGCGCGGCTTGGCCGCAGCGGAGCGCGGGGCTCCGGAGGGCTTCGCGCTGCCTCTCTCCCCTCCCCGCGGCCCCCCACCGCCGGGCTGGATATGTGGATGCTCACGTGAAGATGGATGTAGCGATCGGGCTGCTGGGGCTGCTGACGGTTCTGCTGGAGGGCAGCTCCGGGCAAGGGGTGTACGGTGAGTGCGGGGCGAGTCGTGACCTTGTCGCGCCTGTGGCCGGGGATGGACGCGGGGTTGGGGGGGGTCGGGAGGTGCGGTGATCCCCGCGCGGCCGCCGAGCGCCGCGGGAGCCGGCGGAGGCAGCACCGTTGCCATGAGACGCTGACACCGCGCGGGCACGGCGGGATGCGGGCCGTGGGATGCGGGCTGGGGGGGGGGGGGGGGAGCAGCGCCGCGTGCCTGGCCCCGACGCACTTGTTAACAGCACGGCTCCGGGCCGCCCGCGGTCGCGCAGCGAGGGGTGGGGGAGAAAAGCGCAAACTTCGCCGCGCTCCGCCGGGGGCGCGCGGTGCTCGCGGCCGAGCGGGGCGGAGGAGGGGAGCGCTCCTCTGGAACCGCCATCCTCCCCCCTCAGCTCCGGGCAGTGACTTGCAAATCGCGGGGATGCGCGTCCCCTGCCCCGCTCCCATCACCGCGGGGTGCGGAGAGCTCCGCCGGTTCACCCCGCGCCGGGCGGTGCGTGGAACCGCGGGTTCGCTCGTTCCTCCGCGCTGTCCTCCTTCCCTCCCCCCCCCCCTCCCTCCCAACCTTCCCTCGGGTCGGGCTGGCCCCGTTTTGGCGGATCGCCGGTGGAAGCCGGAGGCGGGGAACACGGGGGAGGGAAGGGAAGGGGTCGGTCGCCGCCCGTTGCGCGGCCCCCGGCCCGGCGGCGGGGTTATGTAAGCGGCGGCCGCGCGGAGCTGCTGCGAGCTGAGCTCCGGCGATGGGTGTCGAGTGGACTCGGTGAATTCAGCCCGAGCTCCTGGCTCTCCACCCCCGGGTCGAAGATGTACTTTTTGTACCCGCTCCCCTTTCCTCTCCTATGTCTTGATTTTTTTTTTTAATTTTTTTTTTATTTTTGGACTGATTTTCTGTATCACCGAAAATATCGGAGGCTTCGTGCCGGCGCCAACGTGCGGCTCTCGGCGGCGGAGCGCCGGGTTCTCCCCTCCCGGCGCACAGCGCGGAGCTTTGGGTGCGATGGAACGGCGCTGTTGGTGCGGATGGGAGAGAGCTTCGGGCACAGCTCGGGCTGCGGGAAAGGCAGCTCCTGCCCCAGGCTGAGCGCATCCGTGTGTATGCAAAGTGACGGGCGGGTTTATCACAGGACTTTGGTTTGGCCGCGATGCCTTTCTGTACAACGTAACGCCGTATTGGGGTTGGGTGAGTGAGGGGGGAGCGTTGTGAGCTCAGCCGTGTGTGGCTGTGCTGTGTTGGAAACCCATTTTGTGTGAATTCGTGCCTCTCTGTTGGCTCTCCCGAGGTCTGTCTGCAACGGGCAGAGCTTTGCCAAAAGCTGCCAGATCTGAGGCACGGCCAGCGCCTCCGAAATCCCACTGTGGTGCATGCATTTTGGTATCAGGTATTTGGGAGTCGGTGCTCCGAGTTCGATTTGCAAGGCGAGCCCTGGCCCAGGAAGGGGAACCCATGTGTGTGTCCATAGCAGCACTGTGGGTGCACTTTGGTATTTAACTGCAAACCAACGCTCTGCGTTTCCATCCCCGGTTTGTATGAAAAATAGAATGAAGATCCCCTGATGTCTGGCTGTGCGTCTGCCCCTTAACTTTCCTCTGTTGCTTCTGAATAGTGAAGCTGCGCTTAGGAAGTCGGCTGCTTTTACAGCAGGGAATGGAGCTGGGGACAGATTTCGGAACGATGGGGCCAGGGGATGCGGGCAGAGCAGAGCTGGTGCCCCCAGGCAGGATGGCCAGCTCCCTGCTCTGCTCTGCCCAGCTTGTATTCTGCAAAATAATCTTTAGAGGAACCCAAGTGCTGCGTGCAGTTCTCCTCCAGTGTAAATTATGCATGACTTGCACGGTTAATAAAGCAGAAAACGTAAGTATTCAGAACATGATGGTTATCCTCCCTACAAACTTAGAGTTACAAGAGAAAGAATAGCTCATTGAGAAGGCCGAGGTGTGTGTGTGTGGAGCATTTCTAAGTAGATAAATGGCATCACATCAAGGCTGTGGGAGTTTGTCAGCCTGGGGTCAGATCTCCAGGTGCCAACCTGCCCTGGATCAGGCACACAATGTCCCTGGGGTCCCCACGCACTGCCACCACTCCTGAAATCATGGAATCATAGAATGGCCTGGGTTGAAAAGGATCACAGTGCTCATCTAGTTTCAACCCTCTGCCATGTGCAGGATTGCCAACCACCAGACCAGGCTGCACAGAGCCACATGTGGGCGATACCCTTCCCTGTAACAGCCCACAGGTGAGAGGTTCTGCCCATCCCATCCCATCCCATCCCATCCCATCCCATCCCATCCCATCCCATCCCTGCAGGTGTGGATACCATGAGGGCAGCTGTCCGTGCTTCCTCATCTCAAGTACCACCAGGAGCCACAATGTTGGGCTGCTTAAGAGCTCCCGGGGCTCTGAGCCAGCTTGGGGTGTGAGGTGAACGCACACAGCATCAGATGTGGCTGCAGGAGCGAGCTGGCTTCTCATTGCTGGTGCCTGCATGCATGGGTATTTATCATGTTAAATGTCAGAGAGATCGTCCTGCTTCCTTGTGCTGGCTTGGAAATGTTACTGAGGAGAGCTGGCTGTTGGAAAGGAGCAGCTTTGGGAAACGGGGAAACCAAAACCCAGCAGTGCACCTTCCAGCCTGGTGGATACAGCTCTGCAATGTTCCTAGGATGGCAGTGGGGTCACTGTGTGCCAGTTGGGATCTTCCAGCTGCTCTGTAATGCAGCCACGTGGGACACCCCGCTCCCCATCCAGAGGGGATTCATAACTGCCAGCTTTGGGCTGGCAGTGTTGGCGTGCCACTGCCCTTCCCTTTCCCTGCTGCTTGCCTGGTCCAACAAGTGGATTAGAAGGATGAAAGAAAGGGAAAAATAAAGAAAAGGAAAAAAAAAAACAAACCCAAACCCAACACTTAAACTAAGAGCGTTTTCCATGTTACAAAGGGAAGGGTCAGCAGCCCCAGATGCGTGGGGATGGAGGGCATTTCCATGGCAGTGAATGCGGGCGTTGTGTGGGCTGGGCCAGCCCCGCACAGTGCTGGGATTGTGCACGGGCAGCGCTGCAGCCCCAGGAACAGGGCAGGAATTATACGGTGCTGCAGGGACCGGCGCTGCCCTGCAGCTGTGTGCCTGCTCCAGGAGCTTCTGCAGGAGCCCGCTGCTCCAGGACAGCTTTAACTCTTTAACTGAGTACCAGAGGTGTGTCCTTCTGCCTGTGTGCTGCAGGTGTTCATGCAGGGATTTGGATTTGCAGCAGGCTGAGCAGCACAGCAGCTCTGGCAGCAAAAGCGCAGGGCATGGAGATATGGAGGTATGGAGGTATGGAGGTGGCCATCGTTTCTGCTAACAGGTGTTGGGAGCGGTGCTATGCTTGCAGATAAGGGACTGGGCAGCATCTTGCAGCGTGGGGATGTGATTTAGGGCACCGGGAGGTAATAAACTGGGGCTAAGGGAAATAGAATCATACAATCACAGAGTGGCCTGAGTTGGAAAGGGCCTTTAAAGGCCATCTGGTTCCAATCCCTGCAATGCATAAGGACACCCACAGCTCCATCCGTGCTCAGAGCCCATCCCCTGACTGTGAGTGTGTGCAGAAACCAACACCTCTCTGGGCAACCTGTGCCAGTCCTCTAAAAGATGGGAGAGTGAAAACTCTCTGTAGTAGAAGTGTGATAAGCAATGGAGATTAAACCACACCAGGCTTGACTCCAGCCCTGCAGAACTGGTGGAGACCCTTCCATTGGGATGGCACATCTCTGCCATCGGGCATGTGGCAGCTCCCAGCGATCCCCCAGCACGCAGTGAGCTCTCCATGCTGCTTCTCACCCGCCAGGCAGCAGCTGATGCTCTTGGCAGAGGTGGTGAAATCGCTGCCTTTGAGTCCCTGTGAGGGAGATTTGGAGGAAATCGGGTGGCAAGGAAACAGTCTTTGAACAAATAAAACAAAAGCTCTCCTGGCTCGGAAGAGCAAAATCCAGTTTAATTAGAATCAGTCAGATGAAGTGCTGGGGAGGAAGGAAGCAGATGAATGATTAAAGCTCGGCGCTGTGTTGCTCAGTCTCTTCAGCATTTTGGGTACCTGATTTGGAGAAGGAATGGTCTGCTCTCTGCATGCATTGCAGTGCCAGCTTCTATAGGCACGCAGACATATGCACGCTCCTGTAGGGCTCCATTTCTTCTGCAGCACATCTCTTCCCCTGGAGCAGCACCTCTGCATTCCCATCTTTTCTTAAACCTGGCAAAGACTCTTTTGGGGGAAAAACAGTTTTCTGAGGGTGGATGTTCAAAGCAGGGCAGTTCCCTTGGTCTCTGATGGGAATTCAGCATTTGCAGTGCTGCTCCTCGCTCAAAGCCATGCTGTGTCCCCACGAGTTGAGAACCCCCAATTTGCCTTTCTACCATCCTTCTTCATGTTATGTCTGTGTTGCTGCAGAAGCTCAGCAGGAGATGTACTGGATGTATGACATCTTTAACATACAAATGTTTCTTCTTCCATTAGCATAAGTGGGATTGGTGGGAGCAGTGTGGCTGGTGGGAGGTCAGTATGAAACCCACTGTCTTGCCTGGCCCCAAGCTTTGGGAACCAGTTAATCTATTTTTAATATATCAAAGCAACGACTGGAGTAATATATGTTACTTAGGAAATGGTGTGGACTTTAATTATGTTATTACTACATTACATGATTAAAACACTGTGTACCCTTCAGAGTACAGTGCATGAAATATGCTGGTGGATGGCTCAGTGTAGGAAGGGAGGGCTGGAAGGTCTGGGTATGTTGGTAACACCTCTGTATCCCAGTTCTGCTGGCAGCAAAGGGGCAGAGCTGTCTGGGGCACCCTGCAGGGGGGCTGCAGAGGTGTTGAGGATGAGAGCTGCCCTTCCCTGTCCTGCTGGAAAGTAGGAGGATTATTAAACACGAGTCAAGGCAGGATTGCTAGGCGAGGAAACATGAGCTGGGTTTCAGCACACTCTTCTCTCTGTAGCTGTGAGCTGTACACATGTGT